TAAGACATGAAAAACATCTCTTCAGTGAAGCACAGTTTACTGAATTCTTCTACTTGTGAGGAGGGCAGCAATCTTTTTGCATTTCCCATCCTCTTTCAGCATATTGCATTCCTGGGAATCTATCTGCTCCAGAGAGGAAAGACAACTCCTTTGAATGGCATGGGGAAATGCAAGTTGCAATCTCCTTCTCCACTGGATCAGGACCTTTTTATGTGGACAGAAGAGGTTCATCTACACCAAGGATGTCAAATCCATTTTCACCAAGGGCCACATCAGCCTTATGGTTGTCTTCCAAGGACCAGTTGTAAATGTACGAATGTATAAATGAAACTATGTTGCTCAGGCACTGAAAGCTTCAAGGGCCACATAAAATGACATGGTAGGTAGGATTCAGCACAGAGGTCTTGTGTTTGTCACATGTGGTGGCATCCTGTTGATTAGTCCCTCACCAAATCAATTATTAAATTTTACTCCTATATCTGCCCGGAATACATTCCTAGGCTCACCATGGAAAAATGAAACAAAGGATAATAGTGAAGTGTATAAAAAAGAACAACTTCTGGTGGAAGCATGACATAGAATAGTACTGGAAGACTTAGAAAATGCCTAGAGAACTTTTTTTTTCCAGATGTGGGCAAATGAAACGCCAGGTAGCACTCCTGCAGATATTAGGGTCATACGTTATAGGCAAATCCAACTGAATTAATGGGTTTATTGTAATCAGCACAAATAATAGGATTTAGGCCATTAATCGTTGGGATCCAGCCTACTCTTTATTTACAAAATGAAAACTGTCTTGCACAAACCAGCATTGGGGGAAAAGGCTGCACTGCTAGAGTGACAAACAGATCCTGCCAAGTGAAGCATTATTACATAACATTTACAGGAACATAAAGCTAGCACAGGGAAATTAGCTGGCAGCAACACTGAACAACAAAGGACTATGTATCATCAAGGTACTTCCATATTTTTGCTTCCTCCTCCTCCTCCTTCAGGAGGGCAGACAACTTTTCAAGCCAATGAGAAATAATTCAAAGAAGCCAAAGAAAATACTTCCTAAAACAGAATCATGTCAAAGTAGTACATGTTAATCAATTCCTCAGCAGAGGTCTAGAATTCCTCCTGTGAAGTTCATCATACTTCCATGCTCTATTGTTCTCCCAATAGTCACTGCTTTCCTCTCAACTGGAGAGAGTTGGGAAAAATTACTTTTTGGACTACAATGCCCAGTATCCCTAATTTATTATATCATCTGGTAATTCTAGAAATTGTACTCCATAACTTACAGTAGCTTTCCTTCTTTCCCATAGCAGTACTTCAGTAGCATACAGAAGCCTCAAGAAGGACGACTAGATGGCAGATATTATTCAACCTCTTTCAGCTTGATTGCAAAGATAGTGGACTTAGGCTGATGGGCAATCAAGGGTGAACTAAAAGGAAGATATAATCCCCACCTTCCTCCAAACTTAAATATAGCTGGGTCTTGCTATCCATGGAGGTTTAGTTCTAGGACACATACACATGGATGTAGATACCAAAATCCAAGGATGCTCAAGCATAGTAAAATGACTTTTACTTTATATAAAATGGTGAAGAACTCAAATGAGTGCAGGACAGAGCCTGATGGATCAGTGAAATGGTAGGAGGCTATTGAAGGTTATACCTACACATGAGCAAAATGCTTAGTGCAGGGCAAAAATAGGATGTATTTTTAGATCCCCGCCTCCCCCAAATATTTTCAAGCTATGGTTGACTGAATCGGTGGATACAGAACCCGTGAATATGGAGGACCGAATGTATGTTAGCAAGAAATATGAAACTTAGATACAGCACATGACACAGCTCTTTGAGGCACATTTTTATTTACTTATTTTTTTATATTATATCTTACTTTTACTTATTTATATCCTACTCTTTCAGACTCAAGGTGGCTTATAAACATGAGAACAAACAAACATGAATGGTAGAAACTCTGTCTAATTTCTCTACTAAGGGTGCTCCAGCCATCAAGAAAGCCGTCTTCCGCTTTCCCATCAAATGTCCCCATGGAAATAATGGGACCAAGAGAAGGGCCTTCTCTCAAGCTCCCAAAATCCAGCAAAAGTAATACAAGAGAGTACAGCCCTTCAAATAACCAAAATCTCAGCTGTACATGCCTTTATGGCTCAGCATTCTGAATTGTGCCAGGAAACAACTATAAGTGTTAGGGTTGGTTAAGAAAGGTAAGCTGGGGGGCCATCGCTCATGAAACCGTGCACTTATTTTACTTCTATTTGAGAACCATTTTTTGGGGGTATCAACACTGAGTAACCTAAGCCTTTTTAGTGTCTGCCCCCCACCATCACTCTCCTGAAGATTTATTTTGATGGAATGGGAAGAACACAATTCGACTCTTGCTTATAGGCCTGTCAGTCAAATAGACCACCACAACACTGATACATATTTTTAAAGAGGTCTGCAGAGATATTAAGGAACATGAAAGGCACTGCAGACTAATTCAACCAGATAAGTCAGCCATAGCAGAGCACCTGATGAACCAACCTGGACACAGCGTATTATTAGAGAACACAGAAATGCTGGACCACTCTAACAACCACCATGTCAGACTACCTAAAGAAGCCATTGAAATTCACAACCATGTGGACAATTTCAACAGAAAGGAGGGAAGCATGAAAATGAACAAAATCTGGCCACCAGTATTTTAAAAAAAACTCTAAACACTGGACAGCAAATAAAAAGCAACACTCAAATTCCAGACAAGAAACAATCGGGCCAGCTAACACCTTCTAACAAAGGATTCCCCAGGCAGCAATCAGCCAGGCTTTGAAGGTGCAAGGCCATTAAATGCTAATCAAGGTGGCCAGCTGTAACATTCACACTGGCCTCAAGCAGACAAGAGTACTTTCTCCCACCCTGGACATTGCACAGATATAAACCTCACTTGCCTAGTTTCCAACAAACTTCACAACCTCTGAGGATGCCTGCTATAGATGTGGGTAAAACATCAGGAGTTAATGCTTCTGAAACATGGCCATACAGCCTGGAACACTCACAGCAACCCACCAATATAATAGTAATAATCTTTATTTGTATCCTGCTACCATCTTCCTGGAGGGACTTGGGGTAGCTCACAGGATTCACTCAATAGTGCCACACAATACACATACAACAAAATATAAAAGGTTAAATTAATAACAATAATATCAACCCCATTTATACATAAAACAATAAAACCCCTATCAATTAAAAATACTAAAATAATAAAAGACCTAATAAGCAATAAAATAGCAGCTATTTTAAAATAGTTGACATCGAAGTTTTATTTAATAAACAAAGAGCTATGTATGGGGAATGAACTGATTCAACTCTTTAGTAAGAAGTTTTGAAACATACCACACAAGCGGTGAGAAACACAAATAAACCATGGTGAAATATGCATGTTACCGAAGAGGTAAGAGTGTAAACTTTGTGAAGGAAATAATCACTGTGTAACAACAATACAGGGCAGGGTGGGAAGGACACTGAAATTTAGTCCTCAAATAGTAATGTAAGTACCTACATTCACTACATCTTGAGATATTACATCAAACAAACCTAGAGTCATAAAAAAACTACAAATAACCACAGAAGTGTAATAATTAGGAAATGCTGATATTTAGAACAAAATGATTGCAATTAATCACTGAATCGCTCAAAATTGCAGCATTTTGAACACATAACTTTACTTTATTTATCATATTTATACCTCGCCTTTCTTAACTCTGTAGGGGACTCAAGGTGGCTTATGAATATAGGCAATGATTTGATGCCATGTAAACATACATACCGGATACACGTGGACTCAAATCAAAATGACATGATGAGGTTCTAGTAGAAGGAAATCACATGGCTTTCAGGTAAGCAAGAATGTGATTGCTGCCTCTATAGATACCTCATCCCACTAGAGAATGAATCCACTTTAAATCTGGTTTGTCTCCTGCAGAATTCTGGGCTTTGTAGTTTAGGGAGGAGCCTTTAATATGCTGATGTTTTAATTGTTTTTCATTGTTGTATGTTGTTCTGAGCATTGAATTTTGCTACTGTTAACCGCTTTGAGTCACCCGAGGGCTGAGAAAAGCAGTATTCAAATATAGTAAATAAATAAACTACAAACCCCAGAATTCTGCAAGGGGCAGCAACCGGATTTTAAGTGGATTCATTCTCTGGTGTGGTGCAGTCGTAAATGAAGTTGATTAGAAAAAGCAACTTAAGAGGCAGACTGGCATGAGGTTCACACAAGATCAAGACAGGAGTCTATACTATTAGATTGGCTTTGCTTACATAAACATTTTTCCCTCCTCAGGAAGTAACCTTCACTCTCTCCTGATCTGATAAATGTCTCTTGATTGGTTGGTTACAGCCTTAACTTTTCTCAGGAAGCCCAGCATTCCTCAAATGTCAAGCAAGCTGAAGGCAGAGACACAAAGGAACTGTGGACACCACTTCAGACTAAACCAGGCCTGGGCCAAGTTGGGCCCTCCAGGTGTTTTGGACTCCAACTCCCACCATTTCTAACAGCCTCGGGCCCCTTCCTTTTCCCCCTCAGCCGCTTAAGGAAAAGGAAGGGGCCCGAGGCTGTTAGAAATGGTGGGAGTTGGAGTCCAAAACACCTGGAGGGCCCAACTTGGCCCATTCATGAGCTATCTCGACCTACTAATTTGCATATGGTTTCTGATTGGCCAGCCTCAACATTCTTAAGCGGCTGAGGGGGGAAAGGAAGGGGTCTGAGGCTGTGAGGATTGGTGGGAGTTGGAGTCCAAAACACCTGAAGGGCCCAACTTGGCTCAGGCCTGGTGTAGATGCAGGCCTTCCCTTCTGAACAGGTGTGCGCCTTGAACCCCACCACAGATGCGCCCAAGGAGCCCCGGCGTTTCCCTCCTCCTCCTCCTTCCCAACTAGGCAAACAAAGAAGCCAAACCTGGGCCGCCTTCCCCAACCACTCCTCTCCTCCTCCGACTCACCCAGAAGCTGCCAAGGGCTCCCCGACCCGGCTTTTCCCCTGTTGTTGTTGTTGCTGCAAGGCCCGCCTGCCCTTGCCTGCTGCTGCCTGGCTCCTCGGCGCTGCAGCACAGCTCGGCCAAGGCAACGACATGCGACGCGGGAGGGAAGGAGGAGGGAGACAGAAACAAAGTCCTGCGTGGGCCCCACCGGTGGGAAGCGCCGCTCTCTGTGGCTGGCTCTCCCCTTCCTTCCTTTGAGAGAGAGGAGAGGTGGCTCGCCGGAACTCCTCTCTAGCTCTGGCTCTTCCCTTCCTTTGAGAGAGAAGAGAGGTGGCTCGTCGGAGCTCCTCTCTCTGTGGCTGGCTCTTCCTTTCAGAGAGAAGAGAGGTGGCTCGTCGGAGCTCCTCTCTGTCTCTGGTTCTTCCTTTCCTTTGAGGCAAAAGAGGTGGCTCGTCGATGCTCCTCTCTCTGTGGCTGGCTTTCCTCTTCCCTTCCTTCGAGAGAGAGAGAGAAGAGAGGTGGCTCGCCTTCCCTTCCTTCCTACCTTCCTTCAACTCTCTTAGGAGGGAGAGAGAGAGAGGTGGGTCCCCTTCCCTTCCTTCTCCTTGCTTCTACTATCCTTTGCTTCCTTCTCGCCTTTCTTCCTGCCTGCCTTCCACTCTCCTTAGAGAGAGAGAGAGATGGCTCCGCCTGCTCTGGCTCTAGCGCGAGCTGGTCTCACGCGCCGGGCCTGGCGAGGAGGAGGAAGAGGAGGAGGAAGGAAGGAAGGAAGGAAAGAGGCGGTCCTCCTGCCCGGGTTTAAAGGGAAAGCGAAGGCTGGAGTCGAGAGGGGAATGAAGGGAGGAGGGGAGCAGGAAAGGGGAAAACACCAGTCAAGAGGGGCGGGGCCTCGCTGGACAGCTAGCCAATCCGCGCGGCTCCCGGGGCAGGGCGCACGTGGACCGCCACGCCCACTCCCTTCCCTCCCTCCCTCCTCCCCTCGATGGGCGGGGCCTGAGGAGTAGGAAACGCACCGGATGAGGCGTGGGTCGGCTTTCAGCTCCGGATCACGCCCTGCCCAGTTGGGACATCCCCTTTTGCTCGGTGGGGGCGGGGAGAGGTTGGAACTGGGTTCAGGATTATGGCTGGATTCTCAGGGATGGAGGGCTTTGATGTTTGTGTGCATGGACTTGTTTGGGAGTAGGCCACTCCCAAACACATCCATGCATACCACATCAAGGTGCAACCAACTGCACAAAAGTATGGCCTGCAACAAATGCCAGGGAGATCCTGCCTATCCCATTATGTTAATTTCCTTTTATTGTTTGTATGTTATTGTTTTATTGCAGTACGTTAGTTCAATTTTTATTGTGATTCTAATTTTAATTATTATTTGCTGTATGTATCTTATTTGTTTACTGTATTCGTTGGGCTTGGCCTCATGTTAGCCGCGGGGTATAAATAAAGTTTAATAATAATCTATATAAATAAAAATGTAATGTGGGATTAACATCAGTGCAACTGAACAACTGAACACAGGAAGTCGGTAAAACTGAACATAGGAATGGCACAAGGATTATGAGAATGGATCTTGTTCTGTTGAATTAATCATGAATTGATAAAGAATTGATAATAATTGTTGATTTTGTTGTAATGTGTGATGTGTTTTTAACTGTATATTACTGTATAACTTGCACTGTGTAAACCGCATTGAGTCGCCTAATCTAGGCTGAAAAATGCGGTAAAGAAATAAAGCAAATAAATAAATAACTCAAAAACCACTAGACGAATTGACACCAAATTTGGACATGATACACCTATCACGCCAGCAAGTGACCATCACTCACAAAAACACTGAAAAACACAGCGGAAGGGACTTAAAAAGCCAAAAAAGCAAAAAGGCGCTACAGCTCGTGTGCAAAAACGACTCCTGGCAAACAAAACACAATAGCATATCCACACTCTGTACTGTCGAAGGCTTTCATGGCTGGAATCACTAGGTTCTTGTGGGTTTTTTGGGCTATAGGGCCATGTTCTAGAGGCATTTCTCCTGACGTTTCGCCTGCATCTATGGCAAGCATCCTCAGAGGTAGTGATATCCACACTCTCTTCTGCACTAAAGTTCGCAGCAACTCCTAGATCAGACCCTTTAGGGCAGTGGTACTCAACCTGTGGGTCCCCAGATGTTTTGGCCTTCAACTCCCAGAAATCCTAACAGCTGGTAAACTGGTTGGGATTTCTGGGAGTTGTAGGCCAAAACACCTGGGGACCCATAAGTTGAGAACCACTGCTTTAGGGAGACGAGGATGATGCAAATGCACTGCTTCTAAGCTGCAAGCTTTCTTCTTGGATTTCTTTGAGAGCACCCCAATCCCTGCATATTTCCCATTTTCTATTCCTGGACTGCAAATCCCAGGAATCCTCCAGATAGATAGATTAGATGTAGGTAGGTAGGTAGGTAGGTAGGTAGGTAGATCGATCAGGAGGACTGCTGGGAGTTGCAATCTAAGAATAGGTAGAGAAGGAAGAAAGGGGAGAAAGAAGAAGGGAATGAAAAGTTTGGGGCGGGGGAAGAAGAAGAGAAGGAAGGAGAGAAAGAAAGAAAGAAAAAGGGAAGGAAGGAGACAAAGAAGAGAAAGAGGGAGGGAAGGTTGGCCACAGCAATGTATGGCAAGTAGAGCTAGTAATAATATTTTTATAAAAAAAATCAATACAATTACCACATATGTTGGTAACACACTTTATCTACATAGAATCATAAGGAGGAAACCATGAAAATGAACAAAATCTGGCTACCATTATTTGAAAAAAGCTCTAAAATCAGGACATTAGATAAAGCGGAACACTCAGAAAACCAGAATTCCAGACAGAAAACAATCAGGGCCAGCTAACACCTCCCAACAAAGGATAATAATAATAATAATATATCATAATATATCATAATAATATATCATAATAGTATATTATATTTTACATGTAATATTCATAATAATATTGCAGCATAGTGTTATAGTAATATACTAATATTATGTTATTCTAATAGTATATATTGTATGTACATATAACTTGTAAGCCACTCCTCTTTGGCATGAGAAAGGCAGAATATAAATATAAATAAATAACTAAAAGGATTCCCCCAGGTAGAAAGCAGGCAATCCAAAGAAAAACAGTGAATAATCTTTTGGCACTTTAAAGATTAACAAAGAATAATAAACTAATTAACAAAGACTAACAACTACCATTTCAGAATACACAGAGAAGTCATTGAAATTCACAAGCATGTGGACAATTTCAACAGAAAGGAAGAAACCATGAAAATGAACAAAATAATGCTACCAGTATTAAAAAACTCCAAAACCAGGACAGTAAATAAAGAGCAACACTCAAAAAACAGGGGAATTCCAGACAAGAATCAATCAGGGCCAGCTAACACCTCCCAACAAAGGATCCCCGGGCAGCAATCAGTTGGGCTTTGAAGCTACAAGGCCATTAAATGCTAATAAAGGTGACCAATTGCAACATTCACGTTTCCCTCAAGCAGAGAAGAATTCTTTCTCCCACCCTGGACATTCCGCAGATATATAAATCTCACTTGCCTAGTTTCCAACAGATCTCACAACCTTTGAGGATGCCTGCCGTAGATGTGGGTGAAATGTCAGGAGAGAATGCTTCTGGAATATGGCCATCCAGCCCAGAAAACTCACAGCAACTCATTAACAATGATGTTTGTTGTTTTTATAGACTAGCAAACTGGCTGCTCTGGAAATACTGACAAAAGAATTGTCACAAGCGAAGGAAATATTGCTGCCGGGGACAGAAAGTGACAAGATGAAACTGGGGGTGAAGAAAACAACAGGGAAATATCATTGAGAGAAGAATGGGTAAGATGTCCTGGCTGTTTATTTGTACCAATACAGGACAGCATTTTGCATTCACAAATATATGGTGGGGTTAGTTCTTGGTCTTTCTTATTCATTCCTTTCCAAATGTAGGCTTCATAGCCCTTGAACTTCCAATGAGTAGTTAGAACTAGTACATGTAGGTCTATCTTGTCTTTGTTTTGACATGGTGTGAAAACTGAATGTTTTTTTAAAAAATGGTTTTCAGTCTCACATAAAGGCTTGGTGGGCAGGTAAGTAGCAGTATTGGAGAAAAGATGGGATATAAACGAATCTTTAAAAACAAACCAACAAAACATCTGAATGTATTTACTCCAGACAGAGTTGCAACAGTGCCATTGCGAAAAGGGACACACCTTGGAACATGTCATATCATCCCAGGCAGGCATGTAGCCAGAGGAGGGGAGGGGGGGCTTGAGGGGCTTCAGCCCCCCCCCCCCCGAAATTTTCATGGTGGTCCGCGAGAAGGCCTTACTGTTACATTATTTAAACTGTTATGTTTATTCGTATCATGATCTGATCATGCACGCTGGGCCTGTACATTAGACTGTACACAGGACATAAATTCTTTGTGCCCAACGGGACGCCGGGGCTGCCTCAGATTAAAGGCCCTTAGATTCCCCCAAACAGAGTCTTTAGAATGCTTAAAGTAAATCCAACAAAGTTCTGTATTGATGAAACAAACAGGTACTTTCAAGCTTTCTTAACTGTCTATAGGCTAGTCTAAAGGCAGGCAACTGTTCTTTCACTGTTGGGAAAATCCCCGACCTCTACCTGGGCAATCTGTCTTCTCTTCTGTTGGCGTGGGACCCCTACACCCGGTCCAATCTGCTTTATGGTCGCCGCGAAGGGCCCTTACCAAACAGAGACTTTGCAGAACTTCCAGGAGGAGGAAGATGTTCACTTCCCAGTGATGGCTGGCTGAAGTCCCTCAGCCAAGCTGTGGCTGTATGTCTCCCGGCCAAGCTGTAGGGCTGTATAACCCCGGCCAAGCTGTAAAAGACGAAGCTTTTCTACAGGAGCCACTTCGTTCTATGCTCTGTGCGCAAGGCTTCTCTGTGAGAACTAACTCAAAATGGCTTTTTTCCCTCCAAAAATCAAAAAGGGGCGGGATCAGGGAACCTAACTATAACTGGCAGGTGGCTTACCCTATAAATGCAAATTATAACAGGAAACCCCCTGCTACAAATCCCAAGCATGGGATTGCACACAAACATAAACATGCAAACACAGCAAATAAATCTGGAGCTCCTGGAACAGCTGTTCCAGAACAGATCACCATGCTCAATATATCCCATATGCATGGGGGTATTGGGGTAACGATACAAAAGGTTTGCTAGGGAAGACCCTCTTTCACTCAGACTCAGCCCCCCCCCCCCGGAATCACACTTGGTTCCCCCCGAATCAAAATCCTGGTTACGGGCCTGATCCCAGGAGACCCCAACAATCCCTAAATTCTTGCATGGACCAAAACTCCAGTTGGTAACACCTGGTAGATTGTGAAGTCAATTGTGATAATGTTTTCAAAACATAAATAGTGGCTGAGCAGAAAGGGAAAACAAACCTGCCCTGCTGTCCCAATTGGTGTCATTTATATTTGTGTTTTACCCTATATATCAAGGATGGACAAACATAAGCTCTCCAGGTATTTTGGACTTCAATGCCTAGAAATCCCAGCCAGCTTACCAACTGTTAGGAATTGTGGAAGTTGGTCCAAAATTCCTGGAGGGTCGAAGTTTGCCCATTATTTATCTATCGTGTCAGAAGCAAATTGAGAATACACTTTTAATGTATAAAAAAACCACAAAGTTAAAAACTTGGTATTATACTAAAATTTTCTTTGATCAGAAGCTGGCCACTTCAAGTGCCTCTGGTGTCGCTGTAAGAAGGCCCTCCATTATGCATGTGGCAGGGCTCAGACTGCATCGTAGTACGTGGTCTGTAGTTTGCTCTTCTCCACAGTTGTATGT